CGCCAAAAAAAAATAATAAATTCCATAAAAGTTTTAAAATACTATGATATTTAGGCAATTGCCCCCATAGACGTGTTATTGTTAGGAAAAGATGAACCAAATACAAGGAGAAATAGTAAAGATTTCAAAAATATCCTTACAACCTTTAAAACCCCCTCGGGAACGCTACTGCTGGAAACCCCCCGGTCGAATCCCGCCAGAGGACATTACCCCCTTATACCCCCGGCATATCTGTGAAATCTCTACACTTTTACTTTTAAATTCCTAAGTATATGTAATGGTAACATTTGAAAAAAGATATAAAGGTATCCATTTGTATAATCAGCCAAGATGGCAAACAATCTTCAAAGGATTTGGTTACATGTGACAATTATCTCATTAACTCTGGAGGAGGAGGCTGTATTCTTCAATATCATGGACTCATATATCCTTGTATAGATATGATAACAGATGAGACAAAGTCTTCAGAATTCTTCCTGACATGCAAAAGATAGTTCCACAATTGCCAGATTGGACTGTGTATGTATGCTTCTGACGGTTCATTTTTGTATTTTCTACAGCTCATATTATAGTTAGGTATATCCAAATGTAAAGAGAGAACATTGAGATAATTTGTATGTAAAAGCTTCTGTGCTTTTACTTGCTGTAATGGCATGGTTTTTTTCCAGAAAATTTATTGAACGCAACATAGTTTTTAAATAGGTTGAAGTATCACAGCTATTAAAGTATTTAAAAATGTATTTTGTGTATAAAACCTGCTATTAAAACATAGGTAATTTTTTACTTATTCCAACGGTTATAACCGCCACATTTTTCTGTGCAGCCCCCGCTGTAATTGCAATTAGCTGCAACGACATTTCACAGCGGTTTTAAAACCGGTGGGATAGATTAAAGGATGTGCTAGTTTTAACAGCAGTTATAACCGATGCAAAGTTACAGATTTGTACCGATTTTGACAGCGGTTTTAGAACCGCTCCTAAAAACTGTTGCGAAAAATCCTTTTTATTTTGTAGTGAGGTTTATGTCATTGCACGGCCTAAGAAGTCAAATTCACAAGAAGCAGAGTTTCTAATGGAATTAAAAGAAAAATTGAGAAATTTTAAATTTTGAAAGATATTTTACTTAAATTTTTAAATAATTGTTAGTGATAATCTAAAATTTTGTCGATATATTTTTATTATTTTGAGCTCGTTTAGATTTTTGTTGTTGTTGTTGTGTTTCACATTAATTGCATAAAAAATAAAAATGCTCAGATTCAAAAATTTCAAGCCCTGGCCCTATGTACAGTCTAGATGGATAATAATATAAAACACAGAAGGCTAACTTCTACGATAAGCTCCTCTGGGTTTTCTTGGTTTTATTCATAATAAAGACGTATTGTTTTCCAGCGAAGGGCTACGGACATAACAAACAAAAATTTGTAAATAATGATTCATATTAAAAGGTAAATTTGTTAGGTTATACTGTTTGTTTGCATTGCATTGATTTTGTTTTATTGTCTGAAATAAAATTATCAAATTCATTAATAAATATATGACTTGATAGATATATATATATTTGTGTATTAATCCATAAAAAAATGATGCCCTACTGAAAAAATGCAGTATTTTAATAGTAGTGGTTTGAAAACCGCTGCTATTGATACCTTTCGGCGATGGTTTAAATCGCCACCTAATCTTCCATTAAATTTGTTATATTGTATCTTCTTCTTGGCCTACTCGAATCTCCCCCAATCAAGCTCTAGCCGGCCTCTCTCACAATTTCCTCGTTCTAAATCACAAACATGCACGACTCGACAAGCATCTACTAACAAACCAGCCAGAATCGCGTAGTCTTCTCTCTAGGATTATCACAACCCAATCGTCGTCGGGCTCGTCAACCTCGCTCACATAATTGCCAACCCTCTCCCTTCACATAATCTATGCTGATCGATGACTGCCCATCCGTGCTGACCACCAGAATCCCCTCGGGTATGAAATCACTGATCATGATTCGACATGCTAGTTTGGTCAAAAAATTTATTATATTAATTTTAAATTAATCATCAAATTCATAAAATAGGTATATATTCATGAAATTTAGAAACACTTTGACTAGACTTAGATCAATATTTTCTTCCTATATATTAGTACTAGCATGTAAGTATATGGCATCCAAAACTTTAGTCTTTGATGTCACATTTGCAAATA